AAAATCTTTTCAATATGAGTTAATGGGCAGTCGGTATGGGTTAACGAGCAGTCTTGTTATTTTGAGTTTTTCTAATGCATAGCATTTGAGACAATTTATAGTTAAAGAGAATTGCAAAAAGTTCGGACAGACAGAATTAATTAAAAAGAGCATCGTACCATTTTGACAGATTTTTGCGTGCAATTTTTTCTTTCAGACAACCTTGGGGACACAAAATCGGACTGAAAAATTACATTTTGCGTGCAAAATTTTTCCAAAATAGGTCAATTGCTCTTTTTAATTATTTTTGTCTGTCCGAATTTTTTGCTACTAATTATAATACCAAAATGTTGGCAATATCTTTTCGGTCAACGAATTTGAACGAAGTTTTTCACCCTAAAACTGCTCATTTTGACGGCGGAGTTTTGTTTTTTAGTGATTTGCACACGTAACAGCTATGTAAAAAAAAACTAATTAACCTAAATTGCTATAGTTTTTGACCGATTAAATTATTCAAGGTCACCGTCATTTCCAACAATTCGTAATTGATTTGCAGGCTAGCACATTGGTTGGAATAACATGTTGCTAGATAAAAAACCATATCATTTTGTAGTTGGCATTCTGTGTGTGAGGAAAAGGGTGGGATGAGTGATTTTTCAAATTTCCAAAGCATGAAAATAAACAAAAGAATACTTGAGCTACCTTAAACTGCAACTGGAAGATTCTGGCCTCCAACCTGATGCAAGCAGTCTGGTTACTTTTTACTGCGACTTTCGAAAATAAATTGCACTTTTTGTCCTCGGCGTGGTTTTTTTTCTACTTTCGAGTTTTGCATTAGCCAGTTTTGGATGCAGTTTTTATACCATTTAAACATAATTGTCGCTTTGAGCTCAAATTTTAAAAAATATAATTCACCTTTGCTCAATTTTCCTAAAACTTTTGCGTTTTGAACATTGCCAATTTGGCTAAATTAGGACAATAAATGCGCGATATATAATTCATTCTATAAACGCGTGCGGTCATTTAATCCGGTTCAGAAATTTTGCCAAATTAAATTGAAGCAAGCACGTTGGAACTGTTATAACCTTGCTAGACGCTAATGACTCCATTTTGTACTTTTTATAACGTGTGAGAGGAATGTTTTCAAAACAAATAATCTGAAAAAAAAACTATTTTTTTTTCTAAATTTTTTCATCAATTCTTAAATTTAGTAAATGATGACTTATTCTTTAGACTTTAAGGGCAATCAGAACACTAAAGGCTTTCTTTCGACTCGAACAGTCTTGTTACTTTTCATCTTTGCCTGATTTTTAGGTAAATGTTTTATTTTCAAAACATATTAGCGCAAACATTACGCGACTGAGTGGTAACTTTCATGGTTTCATTAAAAACTAAGAAAATTTTACCTTCACAATTTTTTTGTTGATCACCATAAAAAATTATTACGAATTCTTGCGCAATTTAGAAGTCATTGTAATTTGTGCGCTTTTTTTGTTCTATCGTTGTAATATAAGTCTTGGTGCGCATCAAACCACTGGTCTTTGGATTTAGATATGCATAGCCACTCAACTACCGCTCATTAGGAAAAAAATCAAAATTCTTTGTAATCAAAAACATAAAGATGAAAGTGCTAACTGTAAAAATAAGTAATTTGGCTTTTATTTCCAGCATTATATATACACAGAGTGGAAGTCCGGTTCAAATGCATTCTATCAATAAAATAAAGCAAACTCATTGTTTTGCATTCTTTTTGAAAAACTGACGCAAATAGTTCTGGTAGCAAACCTGAGTATAAACGGCTGCTGTGAAAGTAGCCCAAGAGTTTTGACCTCAATAGTTTCTGAAAAAACTGAAAACGCCTCTCTAATTTTTTTTAGTTGTGTGTATTTTTTATGGAAAAGATTGGCTGGATGCAAAAATTTCTCTATTTGATCGTTCAAACTGATGGTTGAAAATTCAAGCTTATTTCAAACAATTTTATGTTTTGGTTTCTTTCTCCTCAGAAGATAGTTTTGTAATGATCATTCAAAAGCTTCAGCAGAGTATTCAATCAGATATAAAGGCAAATTTTTTCTTTTATCATTCCGACCACTGAAATTGGATAGGAACTTGTCTTCGGGTTGGTTTTAGTTTTGCAACGTTTTTTCAAATTTTTTCCACGTAAAATCAGGTACCACAAAAATTTATCGAAAGAATTGAGTGATAAATCATAATCAAGCCTTATAAAACGTGATTCGAACGATTTTAAATTTTTCAAAAAATTGGTTTTGGCTTCTAAATTTTTTTGATTATCGTCTTACTTCAAGCGAATAAAGCGAGCGAGCAGGCTGTTACTAGTAAGCGTATAATCCTAGTTAGGCAGAAAACTTTTTTTAAAATTTATTTTAGTAATTACTTTTAGCGCCTTCTTGGGGAAAAAATTTGCTTAAATGATTTTTCTTCTTGATTTTTGTAATTATTTTATGAGGAAAAGTTATGTCAAATATTCCTTATTAACTATAAATATTGAGGTTTTAGGCTTTGCTTATCTTCTTATCACACCTCAAGCACAAAACGATGCAACTTGTTTTTTTTTCGTACCATTTAAATACCATTCAGATGTATTTTAGTTTTCTTTTTATTTTCCACGCAAAATCAGCTGCCACAAATAATCATCGGAATGAGTCAAGTGATATACTAAATTGACGCCCATTTAGTCGTGATTAAATGACATTAAAAATATTAATAAAATTTAAAATTAAAAAAAAACATTTGAAATGTTTTTTTTTTTTAAATTTTCTGAAAAACTGTTGTCCAGTTTGTTTAATTTGCGATGACTCACGAAAAAGCAAAATTCTATTTTTATGCCAGATCTTTTTATCACACCACGCAGAAAAAACTATACTAATGTGACAAAAAAACTTCTTCTGTTTGTACTTTTGTAAAGACTATGGTCGGTTATTATGTACAGTAACTGGTTATCGCTTTTTATATTTGTGGTCGAAATTTTATGCTACTTGCACAACAAACGGCTGAATTCCTTCAGTATTTGTCCATAATGTCTAAAAGCTTAACAGCAAAATTGCAGATATAAAGTTCGTATTTTGAAGCCTCGTTACAGGATTGCCGACTCATGGCATCATTAGAGTCTGTTTTATTTGAAAACTAAATGGAGTTTAAATGAAAATTAGCTTCATGTTATTGCAAACTGAGTTTAAATGAAAATAAACTTCATGTTATTGCCTATGTCTAAACTTTAAACAAATCTTCGGTACAAGTGTTTGAGAAATAATAACACATCAATCGAGTAGTTGTTTAAACTTCAGGGATCCCCGGTGCTAATCACATCCGCGTCTACGCACATCATACATGTAACCCCATGCATCATCTTTTATGCTGGAGTCTATACTAATTGAAGTATCTCCCCCCATTTGCGAAAAGTGAGTGATACTCTATGAGTAGTGCATGGTGTGAGTGGGGGGCTCATCACACTGTGTGAGGACTGAGATTGACAGCTGTGACAAGCTCTGCACTCTTTGCTCCGCGCAGCTTGACACTCAATCTAACTAAACAAGAGACTCTTAATCTGCAGTAACACACATTCATCAATAGTTTTCAGTCTTCGTTCTACACAAGTTCGACTCAAAGTCCCTCTCTTTCAACAAAGTCCCCCTGTATTGTTGATAATTCTTATATTCTACTCCAAACTTAAGATTGCAAGTCGTTAACTACTTGTTATACCTATTATAACTGCAATCACACCATCCGCAAAGTCAACAGCGTCCATTCCGCAAGAGCAGTCTGACATCCTCTCGACTCACTGAGAGAGAAGCAAATCTTCAGAAGCAATTCAGTCGATCAATTGATAGAACATCCGTCCGATTTTATAAATGATATTTTTAAGCCACTCTTGATACTTTTAAATAAGGACCAACTAAGTTTTCATACCATCATCGTCTGCTCAGACCTTTGAGTCAGTTTTGTTTTCTGATTTCTTCTAGGGTCGATTCGTTTTTTTATCCACCCTTGCGAAGTTTTAAAGCGCGAAGTTTCGATTGTAGGTTTCTTGCAAAGAATCTTTAATTTTACAATAACAACATAATTTAGAAAATAGTTGCCTATATTGACAACAGACAACATTCATGTGGATACATTATATGTTATTTTTCCACTGCTCCTATTATGAAGTTAGGCCTTTTACCGGCATTGGAAACTGAACATTCGAAGCAACCCAGCTATCAAGTTTCTTCAAAAATCGAATCGGAATCATCGGTGGTTGCTCAAAACTCCACGTCTAAAGACATCTTCAGCTGCAATCCAAAATCTAGCTCATATTCTGAAGAAGCCAACAATAACACCAGGTTTACTGAAGATAGAAACCGGCAAAACGAAAACAACCAGTCGCGAACCGTGAGCTCTCTGGAGAACCCGAGAAGCCTCGTTTTCAGTCTGTCCAAAAAGCGTCCTTTCTTCGACAATTCCACATTTGTGCATCAAAAGTTATCCAAATTTACTCACCAAAATAATCAAACTAAGCAGGTTTTTCCGTTACTACAACAACCAAAAATGTTGCCCAGCAATCTTGCATTCCAACCAATTATGTCGCTTCAAGGTTCACCCGGAGGCTTGGCGAACTCGAATGGTTTTTCAAGCTTGGAGAGCTACTATTTGGGAGCTCCGGCAATAGCCAACCCCCTTGGATCTGGGACGGGACTCTCTCTGAATGATATTGGAGGGGGATCTGCCGATGATAGCGTAGAGTGTCATTTAGAAGATAGTCCCAGTCAGCCGAAAACCGCCGCTGAAAAAGAACTTGCCGATGCTCAAGTAATAACGAAAATCTCACATTTAAGCCTCAAATTTTGCAGCTAACGCATAAGTTTGATAAAAATAGTTCTAGTTTGCGACCACTCTGAATCCATGTGTCCATTTTAGATAATCTAGAATCTCAATTAAATCTCTAATCAATTATACCGTCTGAAAATGTATTTATGTTCCTGTTTTTTGTTAAGTGATTTCTAATAATTTTTTCTCTGTTTCAGGTGAGGACTCTCTTTGTAAGTGGGTTGCCGATGGATGCCAAGGCCAGAGAACTCTACCTTCTTTTCAGGGCATACAAGGTCAGTAATCCTTCTTCAATTTATCGGTACAAGTCTAATTAATTATATTACTTCTAGCTCTAGTGCCACGATAAGTATCTGCATTTATCATTATCATTGTAGTAAATTTTGTCGTCAGTGAATTTTTAAAGTTCGACTTTACGGGATATTATCCGAGCATGACCGAATTTGGCAGAATTTTTCCTTACAAATTCTAAGTTATGGTTCATTTCGAAAAAATGTTTCTGTTTTTTAGAGCAATATAAGGCAAAATTTTATGTTTTTGCGTACTTTTTTTTACTTATTCAAGAGCAAAAAAAAGTTATTACCTTTTTCCGCATTTTTATAGAAAAACGTTTGAAAACAACTAGAAAAATTACTTTGAAATAGAGCATCATATATTGTTGTCAGAAAATTACTTTATAGTAGCGCAGCCTCTTGGTAATTTTGTTTTAAGCTATTTGTAGTTGTAGTCTGAAAATATATTTGCTCAAACATATTTGCAAGAATAATTGTCAAAATCAACTCAAAGCTATTTTTTCAAAGCTGACAAAAAACTTGGATCTAACCAAACACCTGAACTCACGAAATTTTCTTTAATGTTACTCTTGTTTAATTGTTCAAGCAGTCGACTAAACTTAGAGTCTGAAAAGGATAGTGTTTTTGTTATTGAGTCTGCTTCTACTAGTTGTCTGTTTTGAAAGAATGATTTAATTCAATCCGCAATAAAGTCAAGTTCTCGCAACTGTCACAAAAAAGTTTGAGTTGGTTGTCACCTTACAAAATAAACAAGATAACCGGTTGCTATGCAAGTAGCACAGAATGCTCCGACCTCATTCTCACAATTTTTTTCAAGTTGTTGTCTTTTCTTGTACGTCGTGTGATGATATAACTATTTATACGCGTGCAAATTTTGTCAATTAAGCATGAACTATTACAATTTTTTCAAAAAAAACTAAACAAGAAAGATGAAAAATGTTTTCAAGTTTTTAAAATGTTTTTTTTTTCAGTTTTTTGCTCTAAAAGTTTCAAATATCTTCGAGCGTTTGTTTTTTTTTTGCCAGAAAAACGCTAAATGTAGGCTTCCAAAACTGAATTATTTGAGTAAAATTAAGAAATTTTAAGACTAATTTGGTAATTTTTATATAACAAACGTTACTCGATTGGTTAACTCGCTTGAAAATAGACGAAGAATTTTTTCTTTACATTGGGAGAGTTGTTTTTGCAAATTTCAAATGTCGTTCGAATCACGACTGTTGTTCGAATTGCTTTAATATGATATATTATTCGACCCATTCCGATGTTTTTTTGTGGTACCTGATTTTGCTTGGAAAACAAAAAAAAACTACAATACACCCGAATACGAAGCTCCTCCTTTTTTTTCAAATCGTCGGAACAAAAATTAAAACACACCCGAATACAAAGTTTTTCGCCTTTTTAATGGTCAGAACCAGGGGCGGATTTAGGGGGGGGGCGGAGGGGCAGATTTAGGGGGGGCGGGGGGGACGCCCCCTTCCCCTCAGGGATTCGACCCCCTGCCGACCCAAAGGGTCCCCCCTTTGATACTTTTTAAGGAATCCATTTTTGGCCTACCGACCCTAAAATTTTTCTAAGGGCGCCTTTGGCGCCAATATTAACTATTTTCTGAGGGGGAGCGCGCGCCAAAAAACCGCGATTTTTTTGTTAAATTTTTTCAAGTGTTTTTCAAAAATTTGCCTGCGGCGCAGAAAATTTTGGCAAAATAGGGTCAAAACAATGCTTTGGGAGAGCTCGAAAAATCAATTTGGTCGACCGACCTAAAAAAAAAAAGTTTGAAAATCCGCCCCCCCCCCCCCCTCGAGAAAATCCTAGATCCGCCCCTGGTCAGAACAAGAAACATTTTCGATTATTCTTTTTTTAATTGATGATAAATATAGAAAGTTTCTACTCAGCTTTCAATACAAAAAATGCTGGAAACAACCGTCATTTATTTTCCTTCAATTTGGATTCCTTCAATCTATTTTTTTCATTAGTAACATTTCTGTTGGCAGTTGCATACTGACAGTTACCTTTAGCAACAACGCAGAGATGCAAAAATTTCTGAAAAAAAGTAGACAATCATTTTGAAAGAAAGCTTCAATTTCTGTATTCAGAATGATTTGCGCTACTAGCTCGTACTTTAGCTTGCAGCAACCCATTTTTTGATAAATTTGTTTTTGTTGAAGGGATATGCGATTGATAGGGCAAAAAGTAAAATCAATTGAAGGAATTAATTGAAAAACGTAGTTAATTGAAAAAAAATTATTTGAAAAATTCAATATTACCCCTCTTTTTCTTTATTCAAAAATCAGCTTAAGTTAGTTCCTGAAACTGATTAGTGTTTCAGCCATTAAACCTGTTTTTACTGGTTGTCGGATTTCAAATTAAGTAAAATTTTTTCACCAGCTCTACCTTTTGTTCTCTAGACAAATACGAGATGTGGGTTTTAAGACATTTGGATTGATGTCATGTGCCTAAAAACTAGTCTTTAGGGTACGTTTTTTTTCTAAAGTTTTTACCATTGCATTTTTCATTTCTCCTATATTTTCTGACGTTGCTGAGCTTTTGATTGGTAATTATCATCTGGCAGGCATCATCAACAGCGTTAATAAGCATGCACACTGCAAAACCAATTAAACCAAATGTCATCAAGGCCGGAAATCAAAAACGTTTGAACCTTGACTCCTGGCGGGCCGTAGAAGTTGAGGGCGACTAATGATGCGTTCAATGAATTTTGCCAGTACAGTACCCTCCAGATACAATGACAAGTTGCCTCATTTCTGAATGATGAAAGATTTTGAAGGTGTTTCTGGTTTCGTAAAATTGGGCGCAATTTTTCATCTAAATTATTTGAATAAGCATATTGATATAATAGCGAAAATAGCGCTTGATATTCATTCAGACGCTTGTCGTTTTTCCGCAGTCGATAGTTTTTGTATGATATTTTTGAAAAATAATTGTGACTTGGAAAGAGAACTTAGTTTATGCCAATAGCCGCCATTTTTTTGACTTTGTTTTTTTAAAGCTTTAATTGATCAGATTCCAAGACCAGCTTCATTCTTTATTACAGAGTGCTTGTGATATTTCGCAAAAGCGGGTGATACTTTTCAAAGTTGCTCATTTCTATTATTTTTATTGATTTGTAATTCTCCAATAAATTCAGTGCGTACCTTATTAAGAAACTAGAGAAACATGCGAAGAGCAACCATTCATTTCTTTTGTTCAAATGTGAAAACCATTTTCAATAGCTCCATTTTCTGCAGTGTTTTTGACAATTCTTTTTCAAAACAAATATATTTGCTGTAACTTATAATTTTGAAAATTTTGAATGCGTCAAAAGTTTTTTGTTTTTCACTAGTTCAAATTATCAAATTCGACTGAAGTTGAATGCTCGAAGTTCATCAAAATCCGAAGTTCAATTTTAAATGCGATCGCTTTTGCAATCAAATATTATAAAGTTATGGCTGGCTTTTTTGACAATTTGTGAGCGCATATTTGAAATTGTCAGCCCACATATTTGAAATTGTGTGAGCGGCGAAAAACTTTAAGCCCAAATTACAGTTGAACTGAGTTCATGAAAGATAAAATTAGTTCAACTAATGAGCTTGTACAAATAAGGTAATTCAGTTAGCTCTTGACCTTTCGTACTGAAAGGATATAATTTAACAACAGAAATATTGAAAAAAAAAACATAAATTGTTCAAAAATTTTGGCACCAAGATCCATTTAGACCCACAGAATGAACTTCACAGAAACATTTTGGGCTAAAAATGATTCTGATACAGAACTTACAAAATATCAATTAGTCCATTTCGAAATGTGTTACTGTTGCCATGTCTTAGGACCATTGTGATAATTCATGTCGTCTGGAGATTTAAATCTTAAAGTCTATTTTAGCTTTTTAGAGTCGCTTTTTAAAGACACTATCTATAATTTACATAGAAAAATTAAATGAAATTGAAATTTTATGGTGGGTTGATTGATACAGTTATTTAAGAACGGATCTGGAAGGTACTTCGTTTTGCCGTTTGATACAACTGGAGTTATTTGAAACTAAAAGGCATTTGAGCTATTTGAATTTAATCGCATGGCTTAAGGTCAGTAGCCCCTGATTTAAACGGTTTAACTATCTTTTGGCTGAATAAGTTCGAAACAATAAATAAGAAAAACTATAAAAACGGATTATGATTAAGTTACATTTAGGGCGAACTTTAGGGCGTAACTGTATTACTGATATCAGAATCAACTGCAATTGTTATAATTTGCCTGAAAACTAATGGCCGATTCTTGAAAGAACCGAAAAACTTGGCCTGGTTTTAATTAAAATAGGAAGTTCATTCAATTCACATATGGTCACTAGAGTTGTTTCGACAAGGAACCATAAATTAAATTGTAATTGATCCGATGGATCCATGAAACGCGGCGCACATGTTTCGTTTTGAATTGAGAATTAATCAAAAGCAGGTTTCCGGGTGAAATAAATTTAATTGCAAGACAAAAGTAATAGACATACATGATAACGTAAAATTTGTTTTTTCTTACCATTACCTGAAATGGACAATTCGTAATAATTTTTGGATCTCTCTTACCATTTTTCCACAATGATAACTCTTGTGGAAGAAACGCCTTTTATAAGGAACTAATTCAGTTAATCATATGCAAGTTTTGTACTTAGCAACAAATCACATCGTTAGGAGTGGATAGGGGGAGGATAACAAACAAGGTCAAATTTAGGGCTACCAGGCAAACATCCAAAAAGTGAAACATCCATGATCAAAGTAACTTTATTATTACGAAGATCCAAAAAAAACAGGGCAAAGATCAAATTTCCACGGATAGTTTTTGATTTTGATTCAGGACTAAAAATTGATTTTCTAGCTGAAATTGAACTGCTAATCACGGCAAGTTTAATGAAAACTGAGCAAACCAATATCAAACACACCAGGTTCAAGAGTCTTCCTATTTTGAATTCTTTTGAATACAAACCTTTGAAATTATTGTTTTAACAGGGATAGCCGTTAGCTCCCAAAATGCGTGTGAAAGTTAGGCCGAGTTTTTCTTGCAATTTTTTTCTTAAAAAATTACCGAGGGCTATTTACTGTAGAACGCAATTATTTTCTAAAAATGGAAACTGGCTTACTGAACTCTTTCATTGTTCTGGGATTATGATTTCACATTATTCGGTAGCTATTCATTAAGTTTGTTTGATCTATCAGATATTTGCAGGGGCTTAGAAAAGTATATCACCATCAATTATCTAGTGAAAACTATTTGTGCTTCGACTTTCAACGAAAGTGGGGAGTATATATGCTCGGGGTGATTTTTTCAAAGCAATTTCCAAAAGGTTATTTGTCCACGGGGGATCGACCCCTATCTTCGTGCGCCCGGCTGTATGCGCACACCATTATACTTAACTCACACGAGTGTAACGAAACGACTCGTTTGATAGTTTGGCGCTGAAAGTGAATTACTTGCGCGTGGTGAATTATTCCGCAGAAAAAAATTGTTCCAAATTGAACTGCAGTAAGCTGATTGGTCTTACTAGTTCCAAATACGACTCAAATTTTAACCCTTAAAAATATTTCGAGACCAATTAAAGGGCAATCGGATTTTTCAAGGTTTTGCCCTGATGCGAGCAGTCTTGTTTCCATTAATGCTGTTTTTGTTCCGACTTTCGATACGAAAGTAACGGAATATTTGTGCTCGGGGTGGGTTTTTTTTCTTCAGACAAATTTCGACTTTTTAACTAGCCGTTTTTGACATTTTTTTCGTAAAGTTATGGGGGTTTAAAGATTGCCATTTTGGCCAATTTGGGACAATTAACGCGCGATATATTTCGAGCTATTAACGCGTAAGCGGAGAGTTAATCCGTCTTAGAAATCGTTCCAAATTGGTTAAAAGAAGCTTATTTACCATAATCGATTTGTTACAAGGAGCGAAATCTATCCTTTTTTACTTTGTATGGCGTGTGGGGGGATGATTTTCATAAAAAATTTCAAATTTTAGAAAAAAAAACTTCATTTGATTTTTTCTTATCTTTAATTTCTTAATGTTATTACTGCTCCATAAGCCTTAAAAGGCAGTCGGAACATTCAGGGCTTCGCCCTGATACGAGCAGTCTTGTTAAAATTTAATTATCAAAAAGTTTCAGTCATGGCCAGATAACTCAATTCTTGCCGTTTTTTAACTCTTATACAAAATTTGTTTTTGCTTTTTTGTCCCACAGTCTTTTCTTCATTCTCAGATACAGTTATTTTTCCAATTGAACAGACATTTTGTTCCCCGGTAGTTGCCCTGTTTCTGCATTTTAAAAAAAGATGATGAAACAAGGTATTAGGTAAAAAAATTGAAGAATACATGTGCCAGTTATTGAAATAAAAGATGATTGAAATAAGATGTTGCACAGTCATGTTGCGAGATGATTACGAGTTTTCTTAAACTCTAATAAGCTACAATTCAGCATTTATCTCAATTCCTTGTTTCAGAAACTTTCAGTAACATTAATTCTAGAGCGTCTTAAATAAAATTGAAATTAAATCAAATTATAAAAAAAAGCCCGTGCTCCATCCTAAATATTTAATGGAAATGAATTTCAAAATAAACATAGATGTCTTACAACTCCATTTTCCAACCCATTTTTGCCCTTTCATGAGTGAAGTTAGTCGAAATTTAAAAATTCTAAAACTAGATAACCCAGGGCACTCCTTGTGTTCGCGTACACAAGCTTGTAAAATTTCACGGTCGTGCGATAATTTTTCTAGTAGGAAATCGGTCATTGGCACACACACAAACACACATCCACAAACACCACACACGCAAAATTTTTTCTACAATTTTATGTATAGATTTGGCAGTCAAAACTTCTCAAATTTTCCATTAATGGCCATTAATCAAGTTTTCACATTAAGTTTATTTAGGATTTTTGACCATTTTGTTAGAAATAGATTGTACTTTCTCTAGATCATGAGTCAAAAATGAATTCAGCCTGCGAGTAAAGCAATTGTTCTTGATCAGTGAAGCTTCAAATTAACTGATCGAATAACCTTGTCTCTTTGGCGTCGAATAATAGCCCAAGGCTGCTTTCAAATGAACTTCAGTTCTCGAATATTTTCCCATTGATCCCAGAATAGAAAGTCAAATATTTTATTAGGCTATATGTGAAGCAAGAATAACATTTTGAGCCTATTTTTACTATGCATTTGTATTTTTAATCAAATTATTTCCTTGTTTGAAACTATCCCTCAGATATTGGTTACTCATTTCTTTCTGTTTTGTTTTAGGGCTACGAAGGATCTCTCCTGAAAGTGACAGGAAAACAAGTCGAACAGGTATGTGTTTTTTTCCAGTAACTTTCAACAAGGGAAAGCGTTTTAAAATAAAATAACCGATTTCAAAATTCAACTAGATAAATTGCCAAATCAATGATTGTTCATCGTGCATTACCTTTCAATACATAACCCATTTTTCATCTCCCGCCCCAAATGAAATTCGATCACTTTATCTCGAATGTCAACCAACATGACCGGAATGAAAGAGTAGTGATATCCAGCAGACACAAAATCGATACGAATTGTCTAGAAACAAACCAAATGTTTGTAAGTTCTGGCTCGATTGTGACTTCTTTTCAAATGATTTCTGCCTTGCAGGGGAAAAATCCATCAGTAAGTGACACTAAATCATGAGATAACGTAATCTGAAAACTAGAACTCAACCTTACTTATTATTTTCCTAAAACATCATGGCAACAATAATGCTTACAACACAGCAATTCTAGAACTTCTTTTCAATTGAAATCATCTGCACTTTAAGTTACTAATTTTAGAACCGGATCTTTTTATGATCCGTCCGATAAAAGTGATATATAGATCTGATCATTACTGAAAAGGGCAATGTCTAGTTTAACATAGTTGTTAAGTCTGTCGCTTCAATCGCTTTTCAAACTTCCCTCTATTTTTGGGGCAGAGGGTTGCTTCCTATTCCGAGTAAGCCCCCGTCAAGTTTCGAGCTAATTTGATACCGGTCGAAACAAATGCTCTCACCCTTTGTTAAAATTGACGTCGCAATCCAAACCACACGATACATGGTTTTCTACTGGGATTAGGTTCTGCAGAGGATATTGAAACCCTGGGGCAAACGCTAGTTCTGGGCTTAGGAAATCAATATAAACAATTATTGGAACTTTGGTTTGAACCGTGGCACTAAATCGTGAAGATTGGCAAGGTCAAGTGGCGTGATCTAGTACACTTGACCGGTGGCTGAACAAACTTGAATTTGAAACTACCCGGGATAAACATTCGTGCGTTCGATTTGAAGTTGAGTTTTACGACGTTGTTAAGTTAATCTTCGAATGATCAAACACGAAACATTCGATTTTTGTCTTATTTTTAATCGTACATGTTGATTAAAAATTAACATTTTTGGTGAAATAAAAAAACTAAAAGGTAATGAATGTTTTGACAAATAGAGTGATTTATCGAAGGGGTTGATGTTATAGCGAGGAGTAAGTGAAATAAAATGCTAGTTTGAGATGATGATGACGATGATGAGTTGAATGGCATTGGTGTTGAATAATTTACCCTGCAGTGTCTCAGTGTTGTATTGTTACGTAATTGTGCGGCTACTTGTAGTATTAATCATGGTCACATTAACCCTGCATGTACGTCAAGTGTGATCTTATCCCTGCATAACTCACATGTAAAATCAGTCCTATCATCACCACCTAACACATCTAGTCTACTTGAAAAAAAAAGTTTTATCATTTCCGTTACCCTTAATCGTAAAATGCGTGCGAGTCAAAGTTAATTGAAAAATAAGACATAAAAGTATGCGATGATTGTGTCACTAATTACATATAGCTCCTCAAAAAGTGGAAACTTCAGTTTTGTTTTCTTGATTTTGACAAATCGTAACGTAATGGTGGAATTCACATTTCATTCTGGCTTTTCACAAAGAGGACTTAAACCTTCAATATTATTACAGATGAAGCCCGAAATGAACTAAGCACGAAAACTGCAAAAGTTGTGATAATTGAATAAAAAGTAAAACTCGTGCGCGTATACTTGTCCTGTTAGTTTTGAGTTCATTTGATTTGCGGTCGAAATAACATCTGGATATGAGTAGTTGACTTAAATGCATCATTTCCACTGTTACTTCATCTTCTATTGCCTGTCAATTTACTCCATTCTCAGTCATCTGTCAAAACAGCCATTTTGATATAGAAAAAATCAATTGCCCTTTTTTTGTTTTGCATAAAGAGTGGCTAGAAGTTGTACAGTGATTTGTTATAGTGCAAATTGTTGGCAATGTTGATGACCTTGAGTAATTTAATTGGTCAAAAACAATAACATTTTTGGTTAATCAGTAACATTGGTTAAACATTTTTTGAAAACCGTTTTTATGTGTGAAAATCAGTAATAAAATGAAGTTCGACTTCAAACTGAGCAGTCTTAGGTTAATCAATTTAGTTTAGATTCGTTGGCCGTAAAAGATATTGCCAACCATTTGGCATAAGCTATAAATTAACCGGACAAAGAATCATATTCGAAAACTCAAATGCTTTTTTTTCTCAAATTGGGTTAAGATTAAACAAAAAGTGAAGAAAACAAAAATTGCTTAGAATTTCACCAGATTTTCAAATAAAATGGTGCAGTTTTTCTCCAAAAAGCTCAATCAAAGTTTTACCCAAAATAGGGCCAATTGGCGGGAAAATTATTCCAAAAGAAGCCTCTCACACAGTCCAACAAAGTTCTAGAAGGGTTTAACTTCCAAAATATGATTAAAATGACATTTTGGCTCTCAACCAAAATTATATTCTCTTATACAGTTTTTTGGAAATTTAACTCTTCTTGAACTTTGTTGGACTGTGCAAAAGGCTTCTTTTGATACTCTTCTCATCAATTAACTCGTTAGTTTCAGCGTAACTTTTGATTAATTCAAAAACCTAAATGACCCATATTTGGGGTGAAAGTTTGGTTAAGAGTTTCGCAGACCCGCCATATTAATTTTGATGAATTTCTAAGCAATTTTTGTGCTCTTCACTTTTTGTCTAATATTAACCCAATTTGAGAAAAATGCGATTTAAATTTCAAATTTTGTTCTTTTTGTCCGGATAATTTAAATCAGCACTACACTGCTGATTGTTTAATTTCCTTATAAACAGTTCGATGCATCCACAAAGTCTACCTTGACACACCAGGTGTTCTAAATGTTTTTCATTGCGTTTTTTTTTTTCATTATTTGAAATTTCCACGTGAATGAAAACTTTCAAAATAGTTTTATAACATGAACAGAATAACCATATCGCTTTTGAAAGACTGAACAAAAGAGAAAAGTAAAGAAATAGGAAAGTAGATGGAGGACGAGTGAGAAAATGACGAGGAGCCCCGGTTGGTTGGTGGTTGTCAATAGACGTGAACAACTCAGTTAAGAGGCACGTGTCAATATCTGCGGGGAATGTTGACACGGAGGAGCCTCGAAACCTGTCACCCGCCTAACTCCCCCACACAAGCCCACTTCATTTTAACCCTCTCATTCTTACCCAGTTTTCAATTCTTCTTTTCTCGTGCAAACTGATTCACATCTAAACATCCAGTTCATATGCTGAGAAAGAAATGACCATTGAGTTCAGTGTTAGGTTACAGTTACCAATTACTGCACCTTTTTCTTTAAAAAATTTTAAAAAAATCTGTATTCTACAGATAAAACAAACACTTTCCTGCATGAAAAGGTTTAATCATTTTTAGCTGGGAAGTTGTGTCAATGATCTTACAAAATTTAGCTCTATGGAAAAATTTGTTGCAATCTAGATTTTTAATAAATAACCTTAGTCTTGCCACTCAAAAATCTCAGTTAGATGTCGAACTTCGTTCAGTGGCTAATAAGTTTTTTTTGGAATTGGCACTTCCGCGCTTATCTATCTCTTTGGTCTGACTTTTACTGACAAGTTCTTTTTACTTCCCTCCTCAGACCTTTGTACTTAAATGTGCTCACCTGATATCAATTAATTATATGGCTTTCAAATTAAAAGCACTCTGCTTGCTAGTCGAACAATTGAAAAGTTGAGGCTATTTGATTTGAAATGGAACAAAAAGGTAAAGCTATACAAAAATGCTGCCGAGTTCGATTCTTTACATGCAAAAATAAGCGCCACCTCGAGGCAAAAAAAAAACAACAATCATTTGTTCATTTTCTCTCTCGGATTTGTTTGATGTCATTGAGTTTGCTTCTATTGATGTTTCCAGCTCTTTCTCTTCATCACTTGTTTTCAATGCAAACTGACCAACTTTAGTTTTAGGGCTTTAAAAAGCATGCTTTAATTGTTGTTTTGCACACTGTTCCATGTATACGACACAAAAACTGTTTCAATTCAGAAGTAATTGGAAGTACATATTATTGTTCCGACTTTCGGTACGAAAGTAACGGAATATTTGTGCTCGGGGTGGGTTTTTTTTTTCTTCAGACAAATTTCGACTTTTTAACTAGCCATTTTTGACGGAGTATTTTTATATCATTCGAAAGGTATTGTTGTCTTGAGCTCGAATTTGAAAAGATATTTCACCTGTGATCATTTTTCGGAAAGTTACGGGGGTTTAAAGATTGCCATTTTGGCCAACTTGGGACAATTAACGCGCGATATATTTCGCGTTATTAACGCGCAAGCGGAGAGTTAATCCATCTTAGAAATTGTTCCAAATTGGTTAAAAGAAGCCTATTTGCCATAATTGGTTTGTTACAAGGAGCGAAATCTATCCTTTTGTACTTTATATGGCTTGTGGGGGGATGATTTTTATTTTAAAAATTTCAAATTTTAGAATTTTTTTTTTCATTTTGCTTTATTTCATTGAATTTTTTAACGTTAATACTGCTCCATAAACCTTAAAAGGCAGTCGGAACATTCAGGGCTTCGCCATGATACGAGCAGTCTTGTTAAGTTGTGTTCACATGTGACTTCACGCGAGCAATGGTGATTTAAGATGGTTTGAATATGAGTTTGAATATTTCGTGTTTTTCGTTTCAGCCCGTTGGATTTGTCATGTTTGACTCCAGATGCAGTGCAGAGGCCGCCAAACAATCACTACAGGTGAGAAAGATTGGCCATCATCTTCCACGCTTGAAGCGAAATATGGCATTGTTGGAAATCATGGATCTAATTCACCATGGTATCTGAAAACGATCCTCCCCTATAGTACAAAAGAAATAAGGTAATCATATGTGAATGTTAGACTTGGTAAGAACACCCCCCCCCCTCTCCCCACTTAGTCCAAGTAGCTATGGTCGTTTCTCTTTTTGGGATTGGCTAAAACATATTAGTTATTTTTGCCAATCTGAAAAACACTAACTGTGTATGAGTAATGGTGTTACGTTTATAGTGAAAACTCTCTTAGCCATTTCATTTTCTTTGAACTTAATAACAGACGAGCGGGTGTTTTCCCTTCTCAAGATGAGGGGGATATTGAGTCTTTATTGGCGACAGTGGGTGTTCATCCCGCTTAATTTCCCGCGCATCCTCTCGAATTCAGAGGGAGTTCCGCCCCACCCCAACAAAATGCATTAGTCGATGCTCTCCAAACGAATAGAGACTCGGCGGGTTCTTTTCCTCTTTCCCAGCCCTATTAACTAAATGCATCAGACAAACATGGTCAAAATGACCCAAAGTCAATTAAGGCTGCCAATAGTTTTCGTATTTCCGCATACAAACGTAACTCACTGATGTTGTTTGTTTCAATATCTTGGACCCGTGCTGATACACCTTTTTGTTTCTCAGATAAAATGCTTAACATTTGAAATATTTAATTAGCTTGTGACGTGGTTGGTTAAGTTACGAAGAAGTGTTCATTTCTAGGAAGTGTCGTATCTTGGAATCCACAATGCCTGATCATTCAGTCAGTATACCACACGTAATGCCTGTCGTATATACCAGAGACCAACCATACGACATACTATATACATTACTCGCACCATATACTGTAGTAGCCATCATCAGTTATCGGAAGAGGTGTCTACGTCAGTTCAGACGTCGAAGCAGAATTTAAGCGCGAGCAGTTATTGTCATTTTAATCTGAATAATTGATGTTCAATTTAAAAAAAATAGCACTCTTCGTTGTTGAACTATTCACAATATATACGCAATATGTTAGTATACACAACTGGACTGACAATGCAGCATCAAAGAATTATTTTTTACACATGGATATCCAATCCGGAATCCAGAAACATGTTCCGGGCCAAGTTTCACTATGTAACACTGTTACTTACACCACTATAGGTCACGTTACCTGTGACTTGACTCGGGTTCATCTCAACTCCCTGATGTTGTCTGGGGAGGAGAGATAGGCCCATGTGCACCTTTTGACACTGCAGATATATGCTGCAAAATTGCAATGGGTGTTGACATTTACTCACGATCAGGGAACTTTTCACGTTCTGTAAAACACTACACACTGGCACTCAGACGTAATCAAAAGATTTACTCCAGAAAGTCCAATTGGATTGTTATAACTTATAAAAACAATTTATCCGAAAATTCAAATAAAACTAGAATTAGATCAAGACTTTTTGATCTCAAAATCAGCGCTATAGACCGTAAAACAAATAATTTTAATAAGATAGTGGGAAAGTGAGGAATATTTATTTTACTATATATATTTATTTTAATGGCGTTAATCTCATTGGACACAAAGTATTTTTCCGATTATGAAAGATTTGTTTTTGGCGTGCAGGGTGTGCGATTCGATCCGGATCTGCCGCAGACATTGAGACTGGAGTTTGCAAAGAGCAACACGAAAGTGCAGAAGCCGAAGCAGCATCAGCAACACCAACTCAACCACCAATCTGCAGCCGCTGCCGCCCTCATCAACCCCGCAGTGCTGGCTGCAGCCGCCGCCTCAGGACAGTTTCCCAATCGTTAGTATTCCAAAAGCTTAACTATCTAGCTAAAAAATAAACAATTTCGCAATATAATTTTGCAAACAATATCGAAAAATTGCAAGATGCCTTAAAATGGATTAAAATGTCGAATGGCGATCTACCAAGATTATTTAAGAAAAATTGTAAAGAAGTTGTTGGTGTTATTAATGTATACAGCTTGAAAACAAGTTTTGCAAGCAAAATCCCTCAAACTCTACAAAAAATTGGTAGCAGCTGAAAAATCTTTTTAATTTAAATCGCAAGAAATCAAAATTTTTTAGATGGTAAGAGTTTCTGTCGAAAACAGTTGATTAAAAACTGTTTCGGTTTGAGATAAAAATTTGAGCACGAAGTGAGTAATCGGAATAGCAAGAAATGAGAAGACCAAATTGTGACTTTGATGACAGTAATGTTTACATTCTGTGTTACTTGCAAGATTCCGTTTTGCCAACAGATTTTGACTAAATGACAATGAGAAAAAATTCTTACTATATCAGAAAAAAATGTTTCTATTGTCAGTTTACGTATTTCTGGTGGGTTATGTCAGACAGAAAAGACCTTAATGAATTTCAAATATCAATTCACAATTCATTCCGCGTTTTTCACTGTGTGATTTCGATCCTTGATTTGAGCAAAATGAAAGTTATCGTAATTATTACAACCATTCCGGTTATTTTACTCACATGGTCTAAATCTGATGCTCGTTGCTTCCAAGTTGGTTAGCTTTAGATTTTTCGAGGCTTGGTTTTTTGCGGTTGTGCAATTGTTACGTTACTCTTATCTAATTTACGTAACTCTGATGTAAATTCGGCTTCAAGATGTGGCGGTTTGTAGATGACAATGCAAGATGGCGGTTTGTTCAATATCCGCCGGTTTTTTATAGCGAGCTACTTATAAACGAAACTTGGTATAACTAGGATTTACAGGGACTCATTGATGAGTTGGTCAGAGACAACCTTGTTTAAATTCTCGTTTTGGGGCGACAAACTGGTTAATTAAGTTGGCGGGGACAGTATAATATAGTTGTTGTTGTTGTTTTAGCCATGGCTGCATTCCTGCCTGCGGCGGCTGCTGCAGAGACATGGGCTGCCCAACAACAGGCGTAAGTGAACAAACTATTTCAGCACGCGGTTTTAATTCTATGGGTTAGAAAGCTAATGGTTCATAAATATTTGAAAAATCATACCAAGCGTTTCATTGAGTAGTAAAATGGTTTGATGTTGTAGGTTGAATTATGCCGAACTGACAAATCCAGGGGCAGCGGCCGCCTTCCAACACCACATGATGAACCCCGCCATGCTGCAGAACCAGGTAAGACAATTAGCAACCTTTCAAAACTATTATCTGATAAGAGTGAGCGCAAAATGATCGAAATTTTTTTTCTCTTTCAAAAAAATTCGTAACCCTTTTAATTTTTCTCCTAATATTTTCTGTTTTTTTTTTGTGCCCAAAAAAGTTGATATTGTTTGCTTAGGGCATATTCGCATTTACTCCTGCATTAACCTGCTTTTGTTTCACTTTTTTCTTGCACTCTAAACTTCTGTTTTGATCGCATTCTACTGTGACTGTTTTGTTGTTAATGTTGTAACTACTGATTAGCTCTGTGGCTGCCTCTCAACCTCCTCATAATTCACTATTTCCTATATTATATCTACACATGGCATATTCAGTTTACACAAACCAGTCCCCCAGTCATCAAAATAAAAACTATCGAGGCAAAAATCAAATCGAACCGACATACAATCGCCAACAGAAACATGCCAGAAGCTGATTTTGAGCATACATCATTGGTTTAAAAAGGTCGAACCAGAGCAAAATTAAATATCCCTTCATTTATGGCACAAACAATACTGTATACTGAACTCTTAGTTAGTCTAAGCTAGTAGTGTAGGTTAGTTATAGTGACATAGTGAGTTGTGTGTTGTGTTGACAGGTGGCCGCAGCTGCTGCCAATGTCCAACTGGCTCATCAGCTGGCATCGCACCTCTCTTCTCCTCTCCCCACTTTACCCACGTCCGCCGGCCCCTCCCACCATCACCAGAACTCCCACCTCCCAAGCCAGCATCACCAAAATATCCAATTTAACAATAATATCCCTACGTCTAGCTGCGCCACCCTAATGTCTGTAGCTCCTCAGAACCCCCACCACTTCAATCTAAGCCCCCTCCCCCACCAATCCACCTTTCCACAGGGGTCCCTAGCTTCCAGTCCCATTGCGGCGGCCGCGCTAGTTAACTCGCTGATCTCCCCACAACACGGCGCGACACAGTTGTTTCCGCCGGCAGTCTCGCACCATGTAGATAGTAGTGCTACTCTTGTGATTGGCAACCTAGATCCGAACTGCACCGAGGAACAACTCACTTGTGTTATGCAGAGGTAACTCATTCTAACAAACCAGTCAAATAGTCAGTCACCTTTAATCGCTTTATGATTTCAAACTATTCAGTTGCACCCACTCTCTGACTCTTATTTCTCTCCTCAACCTCACATTTCCTGAAAAATTGACCTTATTTCCTTTCTCAGATACTATCAAAATGAATGGACTTCCAACTATCACTTATCAAAGTTGTCTTTTAAGAAATAGTTTTATATAATGTTCACTTTTAATTCCCTTGCATATTTTTGCATTCACATTTATATTGTTCATATTGTTCAAAACCACTTGTTGTTTTTTCCGCTTTTATGATTTTTATACCATTTATAAAGTAAACAGATAACTATATTTTTAAAAAACATAACCTCAGTTGATTAAAAAAATAAAACTCAAACACCAGTTTATTTGCTTATTCAATTAATAAAGTTATATAAAGTTTCGAATAAAATGGGAGACAACGCAAAAAACCCGTACAGCGAAAAACAGCCTGAAGTTATCGAAGACGATGACATAGATGAGCTGGGCGTGATAATAGCGACAAAATTGGACGAAAGCATGACACTTGCAAATATATGTGCAGCTAAAAACGAAACGAAAATTGAAACGAATCAAGACCATAGCAAGAAACCCGAAAAAACAAACGATATGCAGTCAGACCCAATAGACAATAGATATGAGCAAATCTCAAAATTTTCAGAAAAAAAAATTTATCGCTCATTATTTAGCGTTCTATGAAATTATGTCGCAAAAAAATTTCTACTTTCTAAGGTTTCGAAAAAAATAAGTGAGACAAAAGTATGTTTTAAAAAAAGTTTTGCTCATACCGCTGAACAAAAGCCAAAAACAACAATTCTAGAGTCAGAAATGCCAGAAATAGATGAACAAGATAACTTGTTAGCACAAATGGTAGTCGAAAAAGAGACACACGACTACTTAATGTCGGACGTGAGGAAATTGACGCAAGTTAACTACTATTTGGAACGCAAGAAAGAGTCAAAAGAAAACCGGAAAATCCAACAACTACAGTCGGAGTTACTTGAGCTGCACTTGCTGGATAAGGTGAACTATTTCAACTCTCTTTTTTCCTGAAAAAAAGTGCTGAAAGAATTTTTGCTGAAAAAAAGTGGTTTAAATAAGATTTGAACTTTCAAAGGAATCTGAAAATTTCGATGACGATCCGGACTCTGAGATTGCGAGCATGAGATACCAGCTTGAACAGATCGAGGCAGAAAACGACTCCCTCCAGAGGTCATTAGATTCAACACGAGTAGAGGTCTTGGAAGAGGAGTTGGGAAACCTGGAGGAAGATATGGTCAAGTTGAATCAAGTAGTTATGGAGGACAAAATTAGACATGTAGGTCTTATGATCAAACAATCAATGGCAACTGAGCATGCCATTCTTTCTGATCTCCAAGTAGACTTTTTTCTGAGAGCAACAATTTTGTTAAAATTAAGCTTTGCAAAAATACATCTATGAAAATGTAATTTTGGGGAAATGTGAATTTCAATGAATCTCGATCACATGCTCAGTTGTCCATTTTTGAACGCGTAGGCTCAACTCATGCAAGATTTAGCTCAGAGGCATTTGAAACGGATGCGTGAGTTAAAGAGCTTTGGAGTTACTATCACTAAATTGGAATCAGGACAAAATGAGATCTGGAGTCGCAATGAAGAGGAAGAAGAGACAATACGAGAAGAGATGCAGAGAAAGAGATACGAAGAAGATCTAAGGAGAGTCCGACAGAAACGAGAACATACCATATATAGAAATAAACACGAGCACCTCAACTGCAACAGTGAGAACAAAGGTCTCTACAACTACAATTCCTTGCGAGAACATGGCAGCAGGAGATACCTTTATGATACTCCAGACTATGAAGAAAAGCATCAAAATCTTCACGAAGACAGCGAGTTTCAGCGCAGTGGAACAAGTTCCTCTGAAAATTTTGCAAAGGACAAGGAAATAATTGGCAAAGATCTTCTTAATTCACAAAGATCTTCACTTTCAAATATGACGGAGGCTGAAAAGCTCAACAAACGTGAAGAAAATAATTCGTTTGTCCCTCAAGCAGATGTTTTTTCCTGAGGAGTTAAGAATTTGTATGAAAAAAAAAACACAAAATAAATACATTTTTTGCCCTAAGTTTGTTGTTATTGAATAGTTTTTTTTTGAAGAGAATTGCATGAATCATAAAAATCTGAACTGAATTGGAAATTTTAAGTTTTTTTTCCAATTTGTGAATCAGAAAATTTAGAAGCAAGTATTCTTGTTTTATCGCATACCCCGTTGGTAATGACTAAAAATTGGTCTGTTCAAAGAGATTTCCAAACGAGTAATTTTCTCCAAGATACGTCAAAATCAACAGAGGATGGAAAACTGAAAACAAAAGCTCCAACAGTCCTGATCTGCAGTTTGTACCAACGCGGGGAGCGGTGCAAGTTCAAGGACGACCACTACGCCTACAAAAATGGAAAATACCAGCTTCAGCGACATATTTGTCAGAGATGCTACTCAATAATGGGAGAGGAGAAAGCTCACCCGAAAGAATCCAGGCTGTGCCATGCGAGAGGTAGCGGGTTCGAGTCCTTCAGCTCCCCTGCTAAAATGCGACAAGCAGTGGCCAACTTGATGAAAAAAGCATGCAAAGTTTATATTATTCCACGATACGAAAAGTTTCAAAAAAAAGTTAATTTTTGCCAAAAAAAAAAATAAGAATTGATACTTGATGGTAAGTTTCGCTCATTGTTTAACCATTTTGAGTAGATTTAAAAGATATTTTTTTGAAGAGCAATTTTTTTACATTTGCGGTTTTGCATTGCTCACAAAAATGTTAAAAACGCTTTTATCTGATGCAAAATGATGTAATATAAATAATGATTGAGTGCGTATGCTTTTTGGTTTGAGAATGGACGAGAGGTAGTAGAAGTGGAGGTCCCTCCTCGGCCTGCCATGTCCTCCGACTATTCTTACGAAGGACTGTGACAACTCAATGTGAAAATGAAAACTCTGGGTTTCGATTTTCGATATAAATTTGGACATTATGGGTTCTTGAATATTTGCAGCTTCATTGTAAATTGAATATTCTGAATATGCAATTTTGTCTACTACATGTCTTTTATTGAAAAGAGGTCTTATTTAAAATTGTATTGAATCTCAAACTACATTTTTCCGATACTTTAAACAACGAAATTCTTAGAGAGTGATGGTGAAACAAATATTGCATATTATATCCCATGTACCAAAATCTTCCGTTCTAGATAGCAAAAGTGACATTTTGTCATATGAATGTCAGATACGCGTCAATAATGACTTCAGTGTTACAGCTACTTGGTATGTTTTTTGCTAGTAGAATTTAACAGGGTAGCTTTTTTGATTGCTCGTAACCTTAGATCAACATGTTTCTGCTGTAAAAACCTAGCTAAGCTATTTTTACTTCAAGAATCAATAATTTACAAAGGGAGGGGCAGTTTAGTTTGCCTTCACAGCGTCTGAGATGATGCCAAAAAAGATTGACAACATTAGCTTCCCTACAATAATACAGCTGCCTACTAAAGCAAAATATCAAAAAATTTAAACGTGAATGGACTGCGTGATAAATGAACTAAACTGCTTTAGCTGAACATAAACTCAATCTACAATGACATGCTTAAAAATTGCTCAAAAAGATTAATATAAGTATTTGATACTTCTCGCTCTTAGAGAGTAGTTGTAACTTGATCTGCGTTGTGTTTCAGCTTCGCTGGTTTTAGCAGACTGGCCTACCACAAGTACCCTGGCAGCAGCAGCAGCAGTAGTAGTTCAACCAACAACACCTTAACCACATCTCCCCCCTCCCCCTGCCCCTCCTCCCACCAGGTGGCTGCCACTAACGGACACACCCCCTCTCTAACCCCACTCTGCATAGCCCAGTTCACGGTGAGACGCCAATAAATAGTAATTTTGAAGGAGCGCGCGCCGAAAAAAAAACGCGATTTCTTTGTCAAAATTTTCCAAATAGTGCTGCACTTCTTCCAAAAATTTGCCTACTGTGCACAAAATTTTGCAAAATTAGAGGCTTATAGTGTTCTGGGAGCGCTCGGAAATTAATTTGGTCGACTTAAGAAAAGGCAGACGAAATTTTTGAAAATCCGCCCCCCCCCCCCCCCATCGAGAAAATCCTAGATCCGCCCCTGAACTCAATTATTGTTTATTTTCTTGAAGCACCAGTTTAACCACGTTTGTTGAACAAATAGTTGAGATATCACAAACTAATTAAGTACACATAAAACATATAAAAGAAACCAGGTGCGCCTTAGCTTTTCTTCTAAGGATTGCGAGGTGTTGTGTTGTAGGAAGTTATCAAATATAATTGATTATAACTGTAAGTATTTCCTTGTGCAGAGTCTGGCGGCAGCAGCTAGTGCTCTGGCCACATTGCAGGGGTCGCGCCAGCTCAGTGCCAACCACGCAAACCATCAGGGACAAGGACTTATCGTCACCCTCAACCCGGGAAAACACGCCCCACATCTGGGCAGTGGCGTGTTCGGAGAGAAGGTACCATCTACACTAATTCATGAGGACCTGCAACCTACTGTCTATATCCCCACTCCCTCTAAAATTGCACGCCAACTGAGAGAAATTTAGCGAACCAAATTTTTTGAAACCGATTTTAAAACTAATTCTTGCTGTTAAAGCGATGTCAAATGTAAGACATATATGAATCAAAATGCGAGCCTGTTGAGAATGTCGTTTTGAAAGTTTCAAACATTTTTTCTTTCAAATAACATTTGACTGTAGCTGTGTGTTGTCAGATGACGATAGAGTCGCTGAAGAGGAGCGGACTGGCCATTCCCAACCCCAACTTCCAGCCCACCCCCAACAGTCACACTCTTGGTCCCCTCCAACCCCCACCCTTCGCTCTAGTGCCGCCACAGTCGTGACTGTCCAAGCAACTACTCCTGTGAGGAACTACTGCAATTAGTGATTTTATTTTTAAACTTCTTTTTGGTGCTTATTCATCTGAAACTGCCCAAATTTAAAAACCAAAATAATTAATTTGAAATTAGATCGGTTGAGTATGGGCAATTTCATTGAGCTTATTAGTTGTGGTCCGCAAATGCTTGCAGCTTGTTCGGGGTCCAGTCTAAAATATGTCTATTTTAAATGATTATTTTACTAGAAGATTTAAATAATGACAATCAAATATTTAATTTTAATTTTGTATGCTCTATTTCCTATTTCGGATTGTGCGTGGCTCCAGTTCGATCACAGTTTTCGATCATAGAAGTTTCTGTTCTCAGCCAGGAATGCATTTGTGTTAAAAAATGGTCAAAGTTTTTGAGAAACCATAAAATTATTTCAGACTAAAAAGGGTGTGCAGTTTCTGGTGCTTTTGAAATGTTTTTTATCATGGATGTTAATAAAGCTCATTTTCTGTGATATTTTTGTTATCTTTCCGTTTACGTTATTCTTCATGCTATCTGAATATATGTTTAGTGCCGAACCTCTAAAATGTCAAATCTACGAGGCCGGGCAATAGTTTAATGTCTTCAAACTGTTCAGTTATTCTCGAAAACTTAGAGATACTCATTGAGTATATTTTAACCAATGAATTATGTAAATGTTTATTCTAAACAATGATCTCTAATTCTAATTTACGTATTAGCTTCGCAACATTTTCAAAAACTTTTCTGTCAGCCAATAAAGGATGTGTTTTTCGAATTATGGGTTTTCGACCTATTTTATTTTCATCTTTTTCGCATTTCAACGAGTTCCGAAATTTGTCTGAAGATAAAACCACCCCTTTGCATACAATTTTCTGTGACTATGTTCCAAAATCAGAGCAACTAAAACAAGGATAGCCGGTTGTTGTACAAGTAGCACAGAATGTTCCGATCAGTACGAGACCAAATTGTGCTCTGGATAGGCGCACAATTTGGTGTTTGTAGGTCTCTATAATCCAAGACAAGTCTTTAAACATAATGAAATTTTGTCGGTTAGATCAAAAAGAATGAAAGATCAAAAAAAGAACAAAGACTTAAAATTCACAAAATGCAAAGTTTGGCCCCGTAATGACCGCTTTCCATGTTCTTCAAATCAGTGTAGTTTTTTCTGCGAGTTATGAGAAAAGGATCTGAAAGAAAGCATAAAATTGAGGCATGTGTGGCAGCTATAGTAAAATAAGGAAACTAAACTAAAGTTCTTTTATCGGACTGGCCTTGGCGTCTCATCGGATTGACGCCGCGGTCAAAGAAATTGGCGCCAAAGTCGGAAATATTATTTGACTTGATTTATTTTTTTCTTTCCCCCGCGCTAATTGATATATTTTGCAGTATATTGCGGGCTGATTATTCAAAAAATATTGTTTTCAAACAAAATCTCGTAACCTTTAACCTTACAAAAAAAACAGTGGAACAACGTTTTCAAGTTTTCTCAATAGTCACTCAATAGTCATTAACCCATTTTCTCAAAATCCTGAGAATAAGTTTGAACAAATTGTCATATATTGAGCTATTGAAATCTTGCGCTCAAAATCTATAAAAAAATTTCTTTCCAAATAAATAATTTAAAAATTTTCAGCGAGATATGAATTTCAAAAACAAAATTGAATTTTTAATAAAAAGGTATAAAATGTCAACCCTACCAAAATTATAGCGAACAATTTCAAAGAATCCAAAAACATTGTTGTCTTGATAGAGTTGAGTTGGTACAAAAACTGAGCTAAAAAAAGACTTAAAAACGCAATTACGTTTGCTATTTTTTCTCAACAGTGATTTGCAATGTTTATTAATCCGACTTTCGATACGAAAGTAACAGAATATTTGTGCTCGGGTTGAGTTTTTTTTCTCAGACAAATTTCGACTTTTTAACTAGCCATTTTGACGGAATTTTTTTTATACCATCCAAAAATAATTGTTGTCTTGAAGTTAAATTTGAAAAGATATTTCACCTGTGATCACTTTTCGTAAGGTTATGGGGGTTTAAAGATCGCCATTTTGGCCAATTTGGGACAATTAACGCGCGATATATTTCGCGCTATTAACGCGTAAACGGAGATTTAGTTCGTCTTAGAAATCGCTCCAAATTGGTTGAAGGAAGCTTATTTGCAATAAGTGATGTGTTACTGGAAGCGATATTTATCACCTTGTACTTTATATGGCGTGTGGGGGGATAATTTTTACAAAATATCTCAATATTTTTTACAATTTTTTTTTTCATTAAATTTCAGTTTTTTTTACATTTAATTTTTTTCAAATTATGACTGCTTCAAAGACCTTAAAAGGCAGTCGCAACATTCAGGGCTTTGCCTTGATACGAGCAGTCTTGTTAATTTTTGCATCACGACAAAAGAAAAAATTGAACCAACATGAGATTTGAAGTACCAAAAAACACGGTAGAAAATACCAGTCAAAAAAGAAAAAAATGAAAGTGAGAATTTCAAAAGTTGTTGAGACCTTTTGAGCCCTATTTATAAACTAAAACCAAAAATTTCTGACCAAGATAATTTTTAGGAAGTTTGTTTGCTCATATTTGTTCGATGTTTTAGGCAATATAGAGAGAAACAACCAAAATGCTAATCTGAAAGATTGCTACGAGAGTAAAACTTATTAATTTTATTTTTCATATTTAAAAACAACTTTTAATAGCTAAAACAAAGATTTACGAAGTCTTCTTTGCGGCCGAGTTCGTCAAATTGTTTCTAGCCCGTATTTATTTTTTTTGCCTTTTTTTATTATGTTTTTTTTGTCTTTGTTCGATGAGTTGGTTATAACACGTTATAACACTTTAGAAAAAAAAATAATTTAGTTTTTTTAATAAATTTTTTTAAATATGTCAAAAAAAGAACAAGGATGCCCAGTTGTTGTGCAAACAACACAAAAGACATCAACCATACTCATGAAAAAAGAAAAAAGCGTGCAAAACAAAAAAAAAGAAAGAGAAAAAAACATATACGAATACAAAGATCCTCCCCGTTTCTGATAGCCTGAACAATCTTTTTTGCCATTTATTGTATGAAATTTTATGCATCAATGGGACGCAAATTCATGTTAGATTCAGAATCAGTTTTTTGAAAAAAAAATCTTGTTGTAGCATTAAAGAGATGGTAGAAAAATTAGAATCGACCTAAAAAAAGAAATTGGGTGTTTGTTGGTTATAACACATTTGCAGAATGAGTTTAAATTGAAAAAAATGTCGTCCAAATTACAATTTCAAAGGAAATTTTTTTAGATTTGTCATAACTTAAATCAATCTGAGAAATTTTTGTTATATATCGATTGTGCTTTAAAGTAGAAAGACGTACAATGGAAATATAGAAATAACGTCAGTTTCCTTTTTAATTTTTTTTATTTCATTTAGGGAAAACAATAATGATGAAGATATCCTTTTAAGCAAAAATGTCACTCAATGTTGCCAAATCTTCGTGTTATAATTTTTGAAACCAAGCCTTGTTTCTGTTATTTTTCCATTAAATCTGTAAAAATATTGAAAAACTAAAGCATAGGGTAAATTTTCTCCTCTCGATTTCGTGCTGATTAGAAAAAAGTAAACTTGTAGATGTCAAGTGTAGCCTAACAATGAATCCATATTGCTCGTAATTCTGATACCAGAAGCAGTTAAAAATTTTTGCTCAATTTCGAGAAGAATTGGCTAAAATGTTTCGCAATTTAGTGTGTCTGATTTACACTCGAAACCTTTTTTTTTAAAAAAAGAAATATGGCTGGCAAAATGTAAACAAATTATCTAGTTTAAGTTCTTACTATCTTATTTGAAAACATTATCTCATGCGATTAACTTGAGGACAGTAATTGGTTACTCTAGTTTTTCAAAAAAATTATTCAGTGAAACTAAAGTGATGAAACGGGTTTTTGTAGCGGATTAACCATTAGCTTACCAAACTGTATCAGAGAAACTGTTTTAGCACCGTAGAAATTACTGAAAAAACTTAAAAAACTGATTGTTAAGATTTTATCTTGATTTTTATTGATCTGGACCTTGGCAGTTTTGTTACCAAGAAAATTGCGGAAATTTGATCAAGGTGCAGTCTTTTTGACGAGATCTTTTTTGATGTTTTTATGTTTTTGTTTTATCGGTCAGTTTGTGATATTTTTGTTTCCTAATTCCGGTCAGCGAATGCAGTGAACTCAAAATTTAGTCAAAAACTAATTTGAGATTAGGTTATTCGAAAATTTTCATTTTGTTATTTACAATGGATGCAAGAAAAGTTTGGAAAAAACGAAAGTTTCAAAAATTGACCCGATATTTGTGATCAGGTTGTTTTTTTTCATATAGATTTTAACTTTCAATGTAGCAAAACTTGTCGAAAAATTTCCTTGCAGTACGTAAAAAGTTGATGCAATTAGGAGCTATGCAACTTTTGAGACATTTTTTGCAAAATTATTTTATCTAAAAATCGCTATTTGAGCCAATATGAGACATTAAAGGAACACAAGCTTTCATTTTTCTACTTATTTGTAGCAAAAGCAACGAATTATCTGGCTGTGATATGAATCTAAATCCAATACAAGTTATTTTCATTTGATGAGGATCAGATAATATAAGACTTCCGTAGAAACAGGGGAATTTTGTGCTCGGGTTGTTTTTATCTAAGCAAAATTCAATTTCTAATTAGCATTCTGACGGAGTTTTTCTAAAATATCCAAGAAAATTAATGAATCGGGCAGCTAAAAAGAATCACCTGAAATGATTATTTGCAAAACTATGGGAATTTGAAAACAACCAACGCGCGTGTCTTGCTATAGATAAAAACGGTATTTTTTTTTTACATACTCAGTTATCGTTTTCTGAGTTTGGCGTTTGGTACCCGAGTCGAGATTTTCACCTAACTTGAAGCAAGATTTGAGCGGTTTGACCGGTTTTTTTAGACAATTACGCTCAAAATCTTGCTTCAAAATGAGCGGTTTGAGCGGTTTTGAACGGTTTTATCTAAAAAAACCGCTCAAAAACCGCGCAAGATTTGAACGGTTTTGAGCGCTTTATCTAAAAAACCGCTCAAATCTTGTGCGGTTTTTGAACGGTTTTTTTAGATAAACCGCTCAAAACCGTTCAAATCTTGCGCGGTTTTTGAGCGATTTTTTAGATAAACCAATCAAAAACCGCTCAAACCGCTCATTTTGAAGCAAGATTTTGAGCGTAATTGTCTAAAAATAACTGCTTAAATCTTGCGCGGTTTTTGAGCGGTTTTGTTAGATAAACCGTTCAAAAACCGCTCAAACCGCTCATTTTGAAGCAAGAATTTGAGCGTAATTGTCTAGAAAAACCGCTCAAACCGCTCAAATTTTACATATTTTCCAGTGGTTAATTTGCTCGAGCATTTGAAAAAAGTCGCTCACATTGTTTTTGGTCAAGACATCGAAAAAAATATTGCTTGATTTGAGAACGGTTAAGCACTTTTTTTAAATTGTAGATAGTATTTCAACTGCATCTTAGCGTGGGTTGACCAAAAATGCGTATCCTACAATTTCCATGAATGAAAAAATGCTTGTCCTACAAATTTTTACAATTTCATAGACTCAGAAAACAGTAAAAAAAAAACTCTAGGATAAGCGTTTTTTCATATATAGAGTTGTAGAAAAAACATTTTTTCATATATGGAAATTGTAGGATAAACATTTTTTCATACATGGAAATTGTAGGATAAACATT